GGCGTTACGAGATTTTGCCTCTATGTTCTGACTGTTGCTGCATTTACTCGAAATTTAGCGAATTTTCTTAAGGAATCATACCTAAAACTTACAGGACTTCTAAAGTATGAAATTTGCAAACCATGTAACATACAATCACTGTTACATAAAACGTTTTACTATTTTTTTATAATTTTTTTCTTTGTTTCGGGTGTTACAATGCTTCTGTTTCGGGTGTTACGAGTACGAAAATTCAATGCGTTTTATCGATAAAATCGGTGTTTTATTAGTCTCTAGGTACTACAAAATAAGCAGTACAACAAATAAACACAAATAGAGCGAATTCTGGTTTGAAATTACGAAGCAGCTTTTCTTAAAAAATATACAAAGTTCAAGTTTAATTTTTCCTCAGAATATAGCTTTTTCTATTGTTTTTGGCTTGAAATAGCATTACTTTAATTTCTAATTACGATATTTAATGGAAATGTCAAACATCGAGACTTTTTAGCAATACCTTAATTTTAGTGTTAAGTCGACATTTCAAAAATGTCATAAATAGAGAAATATGACTCCTTTTTTGATGCCAGCGCTAGTGAGAGGTCGAAGGACCCTCACAGTGATACTTTATGACTTCTCCAAGCAATATACACACATTATCGACATATAAATAAAAATGTAATACCCGAAACGTTTCGGGTGTTACAGTTTTTAATCAAGAAAGAAACATACTAAATTAGTATCATGCTCAGATATTAGTTAGTATTTGTAATCATTACTACCATGACCTTACTTTTACCAAATATTGTTTTCCTAATCCATGTGTAAGGTACAATAATAAAACAAATACCTGTTTTTTTGTTTCGGGTGTTACATCGCCGAATTAACAAGAAAACACACTTAAAACTTGATAATTATAAATTTTTTTGGGACTATGGCGCTATCTACCAATACTATGATAAATACCCTCAAATCATATAGTGGCAAAACGTTTCACAGATTGATAGTTTTTTTTTAATCGTATTACCAATAATTAGAGAGAAAATGATCATTCAGACAGTTGACTTAAGTATAGACTTTGAAGACTAATAACTTAAAAATTACTTGTTTCTTGCAGATTTTTTTTGTTGCACATTATAATTTGGAATGTTTTCTTTCAAAATTCATCAGATTTAATGCGAAAAGAACATATTTAGTTTTTCACCCTCGGTAACATTTGTCATGGAATGACCCTGCATTCGATTGTCTTGTCGTGTAGGCGAATATAATTAAAAATGTAAATAAATAGATAACGAGCAATTTAATTACATAACCTATTCAGCTAATAATATGTCTGAAAGTTTCCATTCTACATAAAAGGTAATATTGATTTTAAAAACACGTAGGTAATACGAATAACAATCCGGCACAGATGGAAAATTACGGTTTAACATCGTGTCGTTGTAAACGTTATAATGCTAGCCATTTGCAATCGCATGGAACTATGTCTGGGAAAAGTAGTGTGGTTAGTACGGTCCGCTGGGCGCGCAAAAACGTGTGACGTAAAAATTTTAATGAGCTAGCGTGATTGCAGCCAATATACATGCGCAAAGACATACAGAATACGAGATTTGATTTAGTGTATAGTATATGATCCGCATTATAAATCACAGAACTGAATATGCGCTTGAGATTTAATACCTACGAGCTTTGTGAATTTGTAATACTTGGGAGTTGCGATTTATCTCGGAAATTCAACGAAGAAAACCGCACGCAGTTTCTACAAGACAGTAAATATTCTAACTAGGGATTGGATAACGCAAGAAAAACGCAACATTAATTAGACATCAAAAACCATGCAGCACGTCTGCGTGCTTCCCTATAATTATTTCCTTCAAAACCCAGCCTTAAAGATGTGAGAATATAACACATATTACGTCACATTGCAGCAGCGCTGACGACTTTTAATTAAAACGGCGCGGTTATAAAAACTAACGTGTTATTTTGCTAATTGGCACCCCTACGCAGTCCGAGTCACCTAGCACACATACACGTAGGGTAAGTACGTTGGTTCTCGTCCAATTAGCGGAGTTGCCAGCTTTGTGATGCGAAATGAATATCTTGAAATACCCTTACATATATGTATCATATGTCGTTTTAGTCCTTATATAGTCTACTTTACGTTAATATTACATAAGAATGAGTAAATATCACGGTTTTTATTATAAAAAATATTTTATGCAAAAGAGGCGATTTCGCTAGTTTTCGTCCAAAAAAATTGGTTTTCGTCCTAGTGTAAGCTAGTTTTCGACCACTGTGTAGAATAAAGAGTGCAGTTGCATTATTGAGTTAAAACCAATTCTACAATACAGTAACTATGCATTGTGGTATATCATTTGAAAGGTAATTTTGTTAGCTTTCAAATGATATCAAAAAGATATAAATAAGTTTCTTACCTAAATTTAGGAAAATATTGCAATAGGTCGAAGGACAAATGGACGAAAACTAATCTACAGAAATAGCTAATTTTGGTTTTCGTCCACCCCAGTGCTTGCTCATGACGTCATGGACGAAAACACAACAACGTTTAAAGCTGTTTTTTGTTTTCGTCCACATCTTTTTAACGGTTTTTATGGGTTTATCACTGTTAAAAAGTGGACGTAAACTAAAATGTTTAATGTAATAGCAATAAAGATCATATTGGAAGAAAAAACATTGTATTTTGTAGGTCCATTGAAGTAAAATGACAATCCCATCTCAATAGAAAAAATATACAAAAATAAAACTTTTACCATCAAGACCGAATGTTCCTTGCAAAGAACTATTATTTTCAAACGAAAAAAAATCTTACAATACTACTTCAAATTGGGAAAAATATTTTTTTTGCTTGTTTAGCAGTCTCTTAACTTAAATTATACTGGTCAGTTTTTCAATTAAACTACGTTTACGTGAAGAAAAAAAATTAATCGCACATCACGTCTTCTCGGACGAACCACCTTGTCAAAGAAAAATGATAATTTGACAGTGACATTTTGTTTTTTTTATATTAATTAGTTCGGATACCTGATTTTGAATACTTTAAGCCATAGACTATCACTCTTTTTTTTCGATAGGCGCGAATTTTTGAACTTAATTTTATCGCTAAAGTTTTAGTTCCTCTGAAGGCACATCCGGCGATACTTCGAAATCACCTCCGAAAATGTCTCGGCGTTACTGACTACAAAGTTTTAGTTCCTTCTGTGGCACATCCGGGCTTACGAGGTTAAAGTCGAGAAGAAAGTTTGCCTACACTGATTAAAGGCACAATACCTAATTAGTTTTCTAGCTCTAATCTGTACTTCAAATAAAGGTTCCAATAATTTAATAGCTACTTTAATAAGTTCAGGAACTTCGTAGTTTATTTTATTAGGCTTTTGATTTGAGAACTCAATAGTCGATTGATAGTAAGTAAAAATGCAGATCATGATGAGTTGCATTTTATGGAAATTGAAACATGACTGTCATAAGAATTAACAAAGTCTTTCTCAAAGTCAAACCTCTTCTGGAGTCATTTTTGATCAAGTTGAAGATATTATTTTGACCAATAATAGTTTACGGATAACTTGGTTTGTAAGGGCAAACTTTCTTCACCTATCCTATCAGAAAAACTTTAATTTTATTTGCATTTGATTATGCAGAGTTGATTAGGGATGCCATCCCAACTAATATTATAAATGCGAAAGTAACTCTGTCTGTCTGTCTGTTACGCTTTCCCGCTTAAACCTCGCAACCGATTTTGATGAAATTTGGCATAGAGATAGTTTGAGTCCCGGGAAAGAACATAGGATAGTTTTTATCCCGGTTTTTGTAACAGGGACGCGCGCGATAAAGTTTTTCTGTGACAGACAAAATTCCACGCGGGTGAAGCCGCGGGCGGAAAGCTAGTACTGTATAAAGATGAATATGGTGATTGATATGTTTCACAATTAATTGACTTAGCTTTGTCTTCAATGTTTGAAAAATTTTGTGCGGCAATTGAACAATAAAATTTTACTTTGTTGAAAAACATTTGACCAAAAGCAATAAATTCTTTGGTATACTAAGTTATAGTCTTGCTTGGATTTATTACAAAAGTTTATTCATAAGAGTTTTCCCTTTGAAGTGAAATCCAACAAACAAATTTCAACATGATTTCATTTGTTTTATCAAACTTAATTAACAACAAACATTGTACAAGTTGGCTCGAACAAAATTGAAAGCCAGAAAGAATTCTTTAGTAAACTTGTACAGAAGGAAAATAGGTGAATAATGAAAGACAAAACTTTCAAACAAAATCCATTCAAAGTTAGTTGAGGGGAAAATCAATACTAACTAATTTAACTTGTAAGATGAACAATGGGTTTCTGAAAAGCATAGTTACAATGACTTTTTCTCAAACTTGAAGATATTCATCAAATAGTAATAAAGTGGACTTTCTATAAAGTAAATAATCCAGATATTAGGTATGATTAAACTTACAGGTGTTTCTAGGCCAACCGAAGCCACATCACACAATTTCTTATGAGTTGTTCCCCAAATCTAGGTTATAATCTACAAAAGTTTTATGGACCGGCAAAAACTAAATTACCGACCGCTTAACCATAAAAAGAGTTTACCTTCAACAAGATCTTAGCAACAACACTGTACTTGTTCGTGTGGTAGCCACTTGCACTCACATAATCCTAGCAACACACCGAAATCACATTCAGGCAATCAAAAGTAGGTCAGTTTTGCCGCCTATTAGACAAAAACTTCACATAGAGCCTTCTAGAAAGTCAATTCACAACCAACACGTTTCTTACGCGCCCAACTTGTGACGCGTCGGCGTCGCTGCCGCGAGAATAATGTCGTCGGCCGTCAGCCATCGCCACAGCAATCACCGCGCCGCGCTAAGAGCCGCTTACATGACGCTACCACATTTTCGCAAATTACACTCACTCAGACACTTTTACACCAACTAAAATGCTATCCCGCGCTCAATCTTCATCTTAACCTCATTTTATACATAAATACAAACAGAAACTCACCGTAAATAAGCCGAATCCAACAACAAAGAGTCACCAGCCACGCGCTCCAATTATAGGGCACTCACAAATCACGAAAGCACAAGGTATTGCAGCAAAATTACTTCACAGAAGAGTCGAAATCGTCCACAGTCAGCTTCAAAAGTCTATTGAACAAAGTTTATAGTTTTTCGTGACAATAATCACTAAACCGACAAAGTAAACCCTGAAGCACCGCCAGCTACGTACAAAATGGCGGATTTGCGTAACGAAAGTGACGCGCTGAGCTGACGCGCCGCAAACGCATGGACAAATTTTCTTGTCTATGCCCGATCAGTTCAGAAACCGAGTTCGTAAAAATACATCGACAATATTTGTAACGTTAAAATAAAATTATTTGAGAACGAGATTTGATTAAACACTGGCAAATAAAGATAGTGAGAGAATTTAAAATAAATAAAATACTGCAACATGGACACACTGTAGTCGAGGCTTTGCATGGGTTACGCAAAACCTTGACTACCGCAGCTGCGCCGTATTTCAGCCATTCAATGATAGGGGGAGCCCCCATGGTACAGGAACTTCCAGAGCCGGATTAACAGCTTATTTTCCTTCTATTACTTACCTACTATTCATGCGGTCTGCCCCGGGTGCCAAGCATCAGGGTGTCACAACAACCGAGGAACAACTAAGTCGCGCAAATTAGTTCTTTCCCATAGGCGCATTTTTGCAATTGTATTGACTTAGTACTGACATCCATGATCTGTCATCAAAAATCCTGGGGGCAATAGACCATTCTGGGTTGCCCTGGCTCCCCGCCGCCGCCGCTACCCGCTATATATACCCATCTTATGGAATGGGTCACCAACTCATGCTACGCTGCGCGCCGCTCTTGTCAATTATCATCTTCTTCTATCATTAATACGCGCATAGGTTAATTCTACGGCGGCCTGCGGCGCGCCGCGCCGCCCCTTTTGTCCGGCGAATTGGTCGATCGCCCAACCGCGCCCTACCCTAACACCGGCACCGCTACAGATTAACTGGTCCCTTCCCTTCCCAATAAAAACCGTCACGTTGTAGTTTAATTTGAATAAAGCATTTGAATAGCCAGTTATTAGCGATTAGTATCATAGCTGATGAGCTAGTACTATCAACTATCATCCTAAAAATCAGTAGCCCAACATCCTGCACCAGAGTCTGGTGACCAGACCATACTATACTACAAGTTAGGGTTGCCAACTCTTGAAAGGACCAACCCGGGAGAATTGTGGGGGGGGGNTTTTTTTAATTCAGGACAGGGATTTCTGTCTTTCGATTTCGTGAAGAAGTGAACCCAGCGTAAATCCACTCGATTTTCTTCAATAAGATGTGGTTGCTCTTCACACAAAAGTCCAAACTCATCGTACAATTTGTCACTATCTATGTCAATATTTAATAATTCCTGGAGTTTAGTAAACCAATCACATGGTGATTGGTTCTTTTAAAGATAAAATTTATAAATAAGTACGAGCAGCAATGGATGCATTTAATTTTTAGAAATACCGGAGAAAATATTGCTCTCCGGGAGGTCGGGAGGTTAACCATTATTTCCGGAGTCTCCCGGGCAATCCGGGAGGGTTGGGAACCCTACTACAAGTACAGGAGAACTTTACCTCCAGGTGGCATTACAAAATTCCATCCTGTTGTATACGCACATGGTGCATTTTATTTCTGGGACCTGAGCCCCGATTACGGTAACTTTTAACGTCTACAATCCAGACGCGTTTCTGATTCTGCAATACGATTGGTCAAAACAGCTGACGTGCGCTGTTGAACGACCAATCGTATCGCAGAATCGAGAAGCGTGTCTGGATTGTTGACGTTAAAAATTACCGTAATCGGGGCTCTGAGGCCCTCTTGGTTTAGGGGTCCGTGCCCGTCCCGTGGCATTTTATGATGTTTTAAGATGTTCTTGAATAACCTTTTTAGTTGTACGGATTTCTAAACGTTTGTGTCTATGGTATGAAGGGGACAACGTACGTTCTAAAACTACGTTAAGCATGCATTTTAATGCTTTCAAAAATTTATTGTGTTAAGTGCATGGACATTTTTCTGCATTTTTTACACAATGATACAATTTTTTTAAATAATTTATTGCCGCGGCAATTGTAAAATATTTTTTCAACTTAATGATTTAAATTAAATTACAATAGTTTTAATTCCACTTTTGAACGAACGTTGAATATCCTTTCATTCTTCTTTCCAGTTTTCCACCATGTTGTATGATGTTTTTTCTCTTTCTCTCATGGTTCATAATACGTAGGGAAAGAAAGAAACAAAACATATTTACATCTGCCAGTAATGTAATTTTTGCCATCGCATTATTTTGTGCGTGTATCTTTTCTGGATTGGTTTGTAATTTTAATTTATGGTAAAACAGTTAAAAGTTCTGTAAACTGCATTTAACTGCTTAAACTGGCTGATTTAACCAATAATTCAGTGACTAGGAGCATATTTGACACTTTCACATACAACACCTTGCCAGGCTGTGGAATCAGCTGAGTTTGTTTTCATTTTAGGAATTTTTGTCACGAGTTGCTCCAGCACAAAATTCCCTCATCAGCGTATTAAAGAAGCAACTGGAGATATACGAATTCAAGAAAATGAACGAAATTAAGTCTCTGGAGCATGCTACTTTGAAGGTTTGTGAAAAAATATTTTCTTTGTGGCTAGTCCCAAGCAAGGTGTAGTAACTGGGCAACAAGGTTGTTTATTTTTTGTTGCTCACCTCATTTGCATTACTTTTAATGCTAATAGAGTCTCATAATCTAAGTAAAGTAATCTAAGCTATAATTTGAATTTAAAATTTTCTTTTGTTTTGTTTTTGTTGCGGTTTTTTGCTAATATTTTTTTTAACTTTGTAAGGTCCCTTATGAGGTGTTCAACAAGCGGTACCGCAACGCACAGCGAGTCCTAGACGTGGAAGCTAGGCAGGTATCGAGTGCATGCTCCGAAATAGACAATGCTGTGAAGAACCAGAATGTCCCAACTGGAGAAATTGACTCACTGCTGGGAGGAATGGTATGTCATATTGTTAATGTATTGTAAGAAACGGAGCTAGTTTGTTTTTGTCCATAGTATTGTAATAATAAAAAAGCTGAAGACTGAAATGGCATGTTAATTATTTTATGCTATAGAATGATTAATGTATACTTGAGGAAAGTTCTGGTAACCTACTAAGTTCAAGAAACAGTCCACAGATGACAGATCACTTTTCAATGACTGTCAGTTAGGTTTCAAATTTTTTTGTAAGAATCTTCTCTCAATGTGGCATAATAGTTACTAAAATTATAGGATATACTCTAACTAGTTTATTATTATTTATAACAGGTAGAAAAGTTAACAACAATGAAGCGTAAAGCATCTGAAGCGATAAATGAGGAACTGCAGGCAGCTTATGTGTGCAAGAAACGTCTAGAACATCTCAAAGAACACGCCAGTTCACTCTCTGAGACTAGCTCTCCACAAGTCAGGGTAAGTAGTACAGGTGCTTGCTGGTAAAACCATTGCCAAGTTTACACTCCCATGATAGCTTTCTTGGTGTTTAAATGACTGTTTAATATTCCGTATAGCTGTGTAGTGAGAGATAAGAATATGCACCAATAAGAAATTAAGTTTTCATACAATTTCTAGAAGCGAAGATTTTTTTATGCATAACAAGGCAGATACTTGACAGCGATCGCACCTGGTGTTAAGTGAGATGCAGCCTAAGATGGTACATATCTGCTGTAAGTGCCTATTTAGTCTCGCCTTGAAAAGGCCCGGATTATAGTGTTGAGGAAAGACGGCAACAGGCAGCGAATTCCAGTCCCTAGCTGTACCTCTAGCATGAACAACTTTCGTCTTCGAATCGTTTGCGTATTCGACAAAATTCGATACTCAATCTTCGAATTAAACGAAAACGTGACAGTTTTGATTCTCAAAATAAGTTTCGTGCAACCATTTATTATACTAAGTTCACTTTACAACACGTTCACAAGGGCGCTGTTGTAGTTCGAACTCGAAAGTTTTTCGTGCTAGCCATACTGTTCGCATTATAAAAGAGTTATCGAAACGCTTAGTGCGATGCAGGCTTACTACCTTTTGCGTTTGTCCCAGTTAGTGGCATTGCAACTGGACTTATCTTTTCTCCTGTAATTTGATGACGCCCAATATTCTTCACATTATAATCTCATCCACAGACGGCAATGAACCAGTGGCGCAAGGTGCGTCTGGACCGCATGCTGGTAGACTACTTCCTACGCAACGGGTACTACGAGTCCGCCGCCAAGCTGGCCGATGCCAGGGAACTGAGAGACCTCACTAATGTCGGTCAGTGTTCCATCATCAGGCAGTAGGCTTTTTATCCACAGCCTAGTTACTTCCAATATTAAAGATCGTTTCATCCACGAAGACGCGCCCCACCAATTTTTGGTCGAGGGAAGCGCAGATGTTAAGCAATCGATGTCGAGCAATCCGAGCGCCATTATTGTAGTGTGCGTGTGCACTCATGGATGATTTAGCGTGTACCGATAACACTCAAACATTAGCGGGAGAATGGTGGGGCGTGTTTTCGGGGATGAAACGATCTATACTCGTAGTGCGGAAACCAGGTTAGAACGCACGTGAGCAGAAATTTCCTACGCCCATATTCACAAACAATACTATGAGGTGACACACGAACCAATCATATAGCTCTATTCAACGCTGTGCGTTCGATTTGATGCTTCAAATAGCAAGCATTGTTTGTGAATATGGGGGTTTGTCACTTACTATGCCAGGTGTGCCTGCCGCCCTGGGCCATGCGTCCGTCACGACATAGTTTTATCTTCGATTTTAGACGACAAATGTATGGACTTGTCTAAAATCGATAAATGTCCACTTCAACAATGGTAGACTACTTCCTACGCAACGGGTATTACGAGTCCGCCGCCAAGCTGGCCGATGCCAGGGAATTGAGAGACCTCACCAATGTCGGTCAGTGCTCCATCATCATCAGCCATCATACAGGGTGGAAACGTTAAGTGATCTCACTCGATTATTTCTAAACTGTATAAGATATCGGAAAACTGATTACTGATCCTGAAAGTGCTTCACGAGTTCTTTCAAATGATATCAGTAATAGATTACAGAATTAACAGAATCTATCCGAAAATTCAATGTTTTCAGCCTCCATACTAAATGTATGCTTCTATGCCAGCCACACAATATTAGAAGTGTTAATTTTTTTATTTTAAATAATAAACACTTAAAATTAACTCGTAAAGGATGATGGGCACAAATGTATGGAAAGTGGTACCCGCTCCAATAGCCATAACCAATATATATTTTAAAAGGCCTTTAGATGTAGGAAAATGTCTGCTATGGGGCCAGTTCTAATTCACGTTTTGAAAGCAGTAATTCCACTAAGTATTATAATGAAAGTATAACACAATCATCCATGTATACCTAGTATGTATTATAACTACAATCTATTAATATAACTAAAAGAAGCATTGAAAAGGAAAGGATTATAGGTACCTACGATGAACTAGCCGAGCTATTAGCCCTTTATTCGCTTTCATCATCATCATCATTATCATTTTAGCCACCGTCTTCCTCACCGCGTCCGACCATCTCGTCGGTGCCCTGCCCCGAGCGCGTCCCCCTTCATACTGTATGATACTTAGGTTACACAAAAAGTATCTTTATCTTCGAACGCAACCAGATCTGAGACTGGTGGCCATAGTAAATGTTGTTCGTCTTGGTAAGACCTTTCAAATGACACTACAAACATAACTATTGGAGCCGGGTACCATTCTGCAAAAAAGTATGTATATCTTCGTATACAACCAGATCTGAGCTTGGTGGTCATAGTAAAAGTTGTTCATCTTGGTAAGACCTTTCAAACGATACTAGACACATATCTATTGGAGCCGGGTACCATTTTGCCCATTGTCCTTTTATTGTAATTTAAAATTATTCATTAATAATATTTATTTTAGGCTTGCTATAATATTATCAAGACATGAGTGTCATGACTGTGGCTGTACTAAATGTATGGAAGCTGAAAACATTGAATTTTCAGATAGATCCAGTTTATTTTGTAACCTATTATTGGTACCGTTGGATAGAGCTCGTGAAGTACTTTTAGGATCAGTAATCAGTTTTTGGATATATTGTATAGTTTAGAAATAATCGAGTGAGATCACTTATCGTTTCCACCCTGTATACTACACTAACTAATAGATACAGGACTCGGAGGCGATTACAATAGATCAATACTGGTCACAGTGACCAGTAGAATAGCCAATCAAAAAAACAAAATATAAATAAGAAGTAATTTCAGACCCCCCTATCCCACTGGGCACTCTCCATGTAAACCAGGGGGCCACTGACTGCTCTAAAAAACACAGTTACCCGTCAATCAATTAATACTATCAGTTGTAATCACTGAAACGTTGTATAATTTTGCAATTTGTTAAAGTAAAAAAGTGCTTTTTTGGGGATCCTGATGTTGATGATGATTGGTTAATATTTGCACATCTTCTCTCCGTTCCGCCCCGCTTCTGTCCTCTCTGTCCCTTTCAAAAGGACAAGCCTTTCTCAAATATTGATTTCTAATCAAAACAATGCATATTTTGTAGATATCTACTGCGCGGCGGCGGAGGTCGAAGCCGAGTTGCTAGCGCGTCGCACGGCCCGCGGTCTGCAGTGGTGCGCCGACAACAAGTCTAAACTACGCAAGTTCAACTCCACCATGGAGTTCAAGATACGCATACAGGTAAACTCGTGTCGTGTGGTATATTTTTTTTACACTCACCACTATTTTTACACATTAACGTACCTAATATCGGCATGGGGCACACTGAAAACCAGCGTCGTGGCCTTCCTCACCATGGGCCATGGCATATGCTGAGTGGAGTAGAGTCCCATTGCGATGGGAATCCCTGTGCGCCAGGGTGGCACTGCACAGTTAACTTTCTCTTCCATTGTATGTTTTATGTGTTACATCTGTCTTTTTTGTTTTTTTATTTTCGTCTTTTGTGATGTCCATTGCAATAAATTTTTCTTTCTTAATATGTACAACAACTAATATTATTGCCAGTGCCTTTTGGCAACAAAATTGTAATCTGTGCTGGTGTTGACTGTTACACACACAGGTACTGTGCTAGTACAAGCTACATTGTGTACTATATTGCATAAAATCCAATTATTTATTAGTATGACATAAAATATTATGTATGTAGGCATTTCCTAAACATATTCCTGCGTTACATATAAACTTTATTATTCACTTGCAGGAATTCATCGAACTAGTCCGCGAGGACAAACGATTGGAGGCGGTGCGCTACGCCAAGAAGCACTTCTCTACTTACGAGGAAGGACAACTGGAAGACATTCAGCATTGCATGGGAATGCTCGCTTTTCCCAAAGATACAGGTTTGAGCCCTAAATATTTTTACTGGGGAACTTTTACAGAAGCACAGGATTTTGAAAATTATACAGGATGTTAATTTCAATACTCGCCATATTTAGGGAGTTGATTAAGTAGCTTATTCTGATCACGAATCAGTATAAAAATTGACTTGGAAAAAAAATTTAAACGAACTTTAACTTTAGTTAGTTAAAGAAAAATACCTATTTACACTACCTACTTTACGTGGCTTCCTTCAGTAGGTTATCCGACATGACAAGCAAGCGATCCGCGTAGCTCAATGGTGCCGCAAATGAAAACTATTGCAGTATTGCGAGCCACAGTACAGTTAATTTCGCATGGAAAATATTCGCTAAAAATTCCTCTTTAGTTTGTAAATTTTTTTGGTGGATAATGCGTTTATATAAGTCATAATAGATCACCTAAATAAATATGGCGAGGATTGAAATCAACACCCTGTAAATAATTTGAAAAAATCGAACTGCTTAAGGCGGGAATTCAACCCACGATTTAATTTGAGATGCGACTCTTAACGCTAAAAATTAAATAACGAAAGCACAGGATTATTGGAAGGAGTACTGGGAACATTGTCACAGAATTTAATGGAAGCTTAATAGTTCTTCATAGAGAATAAAAAGTTTACTGGTAGAGACACATGTACTGGTATTGGCACATATTATTCTGGTTGGGCACATGTCTACTGGTAGTAGCACAGGTTCAGTATTAAGTACACAAGTTCACTTTATTGCTAGTATGGGATGCCTCACAGGTTTACTGTAAAGAACACAGATTTATTGTATGTTTAACTACCCCGCAGATGCTCGTAGCTAGCGGGTTTACTGGTAGAGGCATAAGTTGTTTCTATTGTTATTGTTATTAGTATAGATTATTTATTTACTTATATGTCTATTTAATTCTACTTCTCACTTAAAATACTAACTCAAGTAACATTTAACGTCATTTCAACGAGTCTGTTTTCATTATTGTATTTAGACAGAGCGGTCTGATCCTAACACAAGTTGATAAAACTTAAAAGATTAGATCCAAAACTTTGTTATGTGACTTGTTTTTATGAATAAAATATTTTGTATTTTGTATTGTATTGTATTGTATTGTTGAGGGGCATAGCTTTAATATGAAGAGCACAGTTTTACTGGGGGCAGCACAGTGCTTAATGGTTAGGGGCACAGCTTTACTGTTAAGTGCACATGTTCACTATTGCTGTAGGGTCTACAACTTTACTGTCAAGTGCACAGGTTTACTAGCGGGCGCTCGCTGGAAAGCGCAGTTCCGCTGGGAATTACACACTTCGTTAAGAAACATTAATTTTACTGGGTGCATACGCAATGCTTGTTGTTAGACACAGTTTCGTTTTGTTTGAGATAGGCACAGGTTTTACTGGCAGGAGCACAGATTTACTTCGATCGTACCGGATGCCAACCCATGCTACGCCGCCACTGTAGATTTGTATAGATTCTCAGAACTGCTCTCGAAAATTCGTCTCAAAGTTCCAAGCAGAGCTGTTAGACTGCCTGTTTATTTGAATATTTCCCCCGCTGCAGTACCAACTACAGACAGAATTCATTCTTTTTGCGATAAATACATGTACCATCCTAAACACATCTCACTTAACACCAGGTGCGATTGTGGTCAAATACCTGTCTTGTGGTGGGCAGTGGCTCGTGGACAGGTCTCCCACTAGGTGGACCGACGATCTGGTGAAGGTCACGGGAGGTGCCTGGATGCGAGCGGCGCAGAACGGGTCTTTGTGGAAATTCTTGGGGGAGGCTTTTGTCCAGCAGTGGACGTCTCTCGGCTGAAACGAACGAACTTAAGACAGGTTGCCTTGTCTTGGTCTTGCATAAAAAAAACTAAGTAAATAACAGCACAGGTCCACTTTTAACAGCACAACTCCTCTTTACAGACGTGCAGCCATACCAGTCGCTGCTAGCTGGCGCGCGCTGGTCGGCGCAGTTCCGCTAGGAGTAACATTGTTTACTATGAAACATAAAGTTTTGTTGATTGATATAGGTACAGGTTAATTGGTAGGGACTGATTACTTGAGTTTACTAGGTGTAAGGATAGGCATAGGTTGTGCTGGTAGGCACACAGATTCACTGATAAGGGGCACAACTTTACTGCCAAGCGCCTGCCTACATGTCCACGTCTTCTTTTCCAGACGTGCAGCCATACCAGTCGCTCCTAGCTGGCGCGCGCTGGACAGCACTAGTGGCGCAATTCCGCTGGGAGCACGCGCGGCTGCTGCACCCCGCGCGGCTGCCGGCGCTGCCCGTGTGTCTGCAGCTGGGGCTGGCCGCGCTCAATACGCCATATCCTTTGCAATACGTTGTTTACTGTACTCGGGTGTCACATGATTTTGAGCCTTACGATGATCGTGTAAGATTGAAAATGCATTGGGGATTTCACATTTTGTGATAGGCCTGTGAGTTGAACTGGGGCTAAAGCCCGGTCTGTGAGCACGTAGAATTTTACGCTCGCACACTCACTGCGGGCGCCCGTCGCCACTGTGCGACGGGCGCCCGCAGTGAGTGTGCGAGCGCGACAGCAACATAATTACGCGCGAGCGGTAAGGATGGGTGGCTTGGGTGACCACAGCTTGGGGTCATTGGACAAAATTCTACGTGCTCGCGGACCAGACTTTAGCCGCTCTTCTCAACACACTATATCCTTTGCAATAATATGTTGTTTACTATAGTCGGGCTGTCTGCTGCAGCTGATTTTAGACCTTATCATAAGGACATAAGGTTCAAAATGCATCGACAGAGGATTTGTCATTTTGTGACAAGGACACAGGCCTGTGAGTTTAGTTAGCTCGTCGCGTTAAACACGTCATACCGGTTACGGGTGTGTTGTAAAAGGAGTGGCTGAACGATTTTGAACCGTATTGCCTTAGTTAAGTTAGCCCGTCGCGTCAAACACTCGATATCGGTTACTACATGGCATATCGGAGTGTTGTGTAATGAGTGGCTGATTTTAAGCCTTATTGCCTGACAATAAGGCTCAGTCCCTCGGCGCAGTTCTGCTGGGAGCACGCGCGGCTGCTGCACCCCGCGCGGCTGCCGGCGCTGCCCGTGTGTCTGCAGCTGGGGCTGGCCGCGCTCAATACGCCATATCCTTTGCAATGCGTTGTTTGCTATACTTGGGATGTCCCATGATTATGAGGGTGTAAGGTTTAAAATGCATCGATTGAGGACTTGACATTTTGTGACAGGCTTTCAGGCCTGTGAGTTTAGCTCCGGCTCGTCATATCCTTTGCAATACTTATGTGTTTGCTATACTTACCACATAGCATATCGGGGTGTCAGTCAAATTCTTTTGAACATTATTTTAGAGGCGTAAGGTTCAAAATGCATTGGGACTTCACATTTTATGACGGGCCTGTGAGATCGGGGTGTCAGTCAAATTCTTTTGAACCTTATTTTAGAGGCGTAAGGTTCAAAATGTTGGGACTTCACATTTTGTGACGGGCCTGTGAGTTTAGCTCCGGCTCGCCATAATATGGTTGCTTGCGGTCTCATGTGATTTAGAACCTTATTGTAAAAGAATAAGGTTCAAAATGCATCCACTGAGGATTTGTCATTTTATGACAGGGACAAGCCTGTGAGTTTAGTTAGTTCGTCGCGTTAAACACGCTATATCGGTTACTACATGGCATATCGGAGTGTTATGAAATGAGTGGCTGATTTTGAGCCTTATTGCCTTCGCTATAAGGCTCAGTCCCTCGGCGCAGTTCCGCTGGGAGCACGCGCGGCTGCTGCACCCCGCGCGGCTGCCGGCGCTGCCCGTGTGTCTGCAGCTGGGGCTGGCCGCGCTCAATACGCCATATCCTTTGCAATACATGTGTCTAATAAACTTCATAGCAAATGATTTTGGACCCTATGTTAAAGGCGTAAGGTTCAAAATGCATCGACTGAGGACTTGACATTTTGTGACAGGAACACAGGCCTGTAAGTTAAACAGCTCGGGCTGGCCACATTCAATATGCCATATCCTTTACGCTATCACATGATTTTGAACCTTATTGTAAGGACATAAGGTTCAAAATGTATTGAAAACTTGCCAATCGCACAGTCGCGACAGCAATATAATTACGCGCGAGCGATAAGGATGGGTAGCTTGGGGTCATTTTACAAAATACTACGTGCTCACAGACCGGGCTTTAGTACGCCACATCCTTTGCTATACTTACTAGAGCGTATTGCGTATTAGTATTGTGCAATGACGGGTGGCTGAATGGTTTTGAACCGTATTGCATTGACAATAAGGTTCAAAGTCCCGCGGCTGCTGCACCCCGCGCGGCTGCCGGCGCTGCCCGTGTGTCTGCAGCTGGGGCTGGCCGCGCTCAACACGCCATATCCTTTGCAATACGTTGTTTACTATACTCGGGGTGTCACATGATGACCTTATTCTAATGGCATAAGGTTCAAATCAAAATGCATTGTTTGAGGACTTGACATTTTGTGACAGGCTCACAGGCCTGTGCCTGGTTGGTTGCTTGGTGAGGTTAGCTTAGGCTCACGCATCGGGATGTCACATGATTTTGAGCCTTACGATGATCGTGCAAGATTCAAAATGCATAGGGGATTTTGTGATTACGTTGTTTACTATAGTCGGGGTGTCACATAATTTTGAGCCTTATGGTCTAGGTTGAAGATGGACTGACTGAGAATTTGACATTTTGAGCTCACCGCGCTCAACACGCTATATCCTTTGCAACAATCTCGTGCACTTGTACATTTTCTGTACTTACCGTATCTTACAAATTCTATAAACCGTCGAATATCAAATGATTTTGAACCTATGGGGTAGGCCAAAATGCCTTGAGGACCGTATTTTTAAAGATCTAGCGTATTTTATAGGGTTTATATGATTTTGAAACATGGTGACGATGAAGTACTTGACATTTTGTAACAGGCTCACAAGTCTGCGAGTTATAATTTCACCTTCAAAAATCAACATAATATCCTTAACAACCTCACACTCAGTGCTACAAAGAGAGCACGCGCGTGTCCGCGTGCCCGGCGTGCCAGCCGCCGCTTAACGCGCTCGCGAGGACTTTACCGCACGCGCACTGCTCGCATTCGCGTCTCGTGTGCCGCATCTCGGGCCGCCCGCTGAACGAACACAACCAGCCGATGGTGCTGCCTAACGGACAGGTCTACGGAGAAAAGGTGGGTCATAGGGGGACACTGTAGGCCAGGAAGGGGGCGCTATCTAGCCTAGGGCAGGGAAGGGCCACTCTGGCCCAGGGAGGGGACACTAGCCCAAGTAGTGGACCCCAGGAGACACTATGCCCAGTGAAGGGGCGCTCTAGCCTACATAAGAGACACTAGCCCAGGGAGGGCACTTTAGCCCAGGGGGGTGTTTCACTAGCCCAAATAGGGGGTACACTAGATTAGGGACGACACTAGCCCATAGAGGGAGCAGTGTAGCCTAGGTGGGAGTGTCCATAGACTCGCCTGTTGTCGCTCGCGAGGACTTTACCCCACGCGCACTGCTCGCTTAGTATGCAGCATCTCGGGCCGCCCGCTGAATGAACATAACCATAGCCCAGGTAGGGGACAGTCTAGCTCAGGGAGGGGACACTAGCCCAGGGAGGGGACACTGTAGCCCAGGGAGGGGACACTGTAACCCAGGGAGGGGACACTGTAGGCCAGGGAGGGGACACTATAGCCCAGGTAAGGGACACTCCAGCCCAGGTAGTGGTCACTCTAGCCCAGGGAGGTGGCACTAGGACGCGTTTCTAACCCACTAACTGGCTGATGTAATAAAAAAATTTGATGATTTATTACTTGACACTGGGTAAATATGCAAATCGCGCGAGAATCAATAAATGAAAAAGTTTGGGTGACATCAACATCAGGTTATTTAGTGTATTTTTTCTAGATGAAATAAAGAACTTGTTCAACATTTGAATAGGCCTGATGTTCACATATTTCTCCTTTTTATTGCTCTTGATGTCTTTCTTGTGTACTTTACGTTTTTGTATCTTTTTTCAGGCAATCAAAGAAATGGTGAAGCTCGGCTCCATCGTCTGCCCGAAAACGAAAGAAGTGTTCTCTATGAAGAGCGTCGAGAAAGTCTATGTCATGTAACTAATATATTTTATACATGTAAATATTATTATAGCCAGAACCACCCCGCACTTTTCTATACTCAGACTTGTATAGAACAATCTCAAAGACTACATAGCACATTATAAAAACTTTTAAGGCAATAAACGTATTTTTTGTGCCTAATTATCTTATTTTCATTAATTCCTATAAATGGCCAGTATTCTTAACACTTTTTATAATAATCTTGTTTCTTATAAGAATAATGAGATATAACGACGCAATTTTTTACAAGATTCTATTTTTTTTAATTAATGGGAATTCAGCACCAATTTATTTTTCGATAAGAAGAGCTATGTAGTCTGTTAATTATCTTTATTTACATAGATCAAGATCTTTCCATTGTATTTTATAAATGACCGATATCATAATACATTGCCTTAATATTTATTTTAGTAATGCCTATATTTTATATTATAATTGGCATGTCATGCTAAGAAGGCAGCATTTATAATTTGCATGCTATTTCGTGAAATATGTAATAGAGATGTCTCTATAAAAATAGGGTAAAAGGTAACGAAGATACAAATAACTTGATACTATGAACGGCAATGGAACTTTGTTTAATGTTTTTAACTTTGTATATTATCATGTTTTATACTATAAATGAATAATCTTCAAAGTTGCCAATTTGTCCAATGTAAGATATTATAAAGATCTCCATTTTGACTTGATTTGAACTAATGCTGTGTTCAATATTATTATACGATCAAGTTTAAGTATTAACTGTTATCTTTTTTACTCTGTTTTATGTAGTAGTAGATTGTAATGATAGTTATAACGTCTCCCTGTATCATACTCATTTACATGCAAAGATACATTTGACAAAATAAATATTAATCTTTAAGTAACCGTTTTTTCTTTAACTTTCGCTCTCCTTGATCCCATGTTCATTTGATTGCTATTTGACTAATTTCTACGACGTTGATTATTTACCTATTTCTAGTAAATAAAACATGCAGTACATAAATAGTTTGTTTATTAATATCTTTTTCTAGTAATTTTACAATGTCGTTATCTATTCAACGACTTAGAATACTCGTAAATGGCATTATTTATCACATTACATACTTAATTTAATTAAATTGTTACTTAACAAAGTGTCTCAAATTCAAAATATTAGCTTAAAAACTGGATTTGATTATATTGAAAATCAATACACAATACTTAAATAAGTATAATGTTAAAGTTAATTTGCATGAAAAATCTCAAAAATATTTGATTTTGATAATAATCTTGCTAAATATAATAGCTTACGTAAAATAAATGAAAATGCTTTTGATATGACAATATCATGGCCAGTGTGTTACACCGCAGTAACTAATATTCCGACTGTATATACAACAGAACTAGAAAACTATCACAATATCGAAGTGGGATGATTTGTACTATCACCTAAGTTACTAATGTTTAAACACGTTAAGTAAATACTGACCCCCATAATCATAAAAATTCAACAGTTTTAGATATTGAATGCATTTTTTGCTATGATATAAATAAATTGTAACTGTTTTAGTTTTTATCATTAAAGGGGTAATGAATGCACTAGCCTCAACTTTCCCAGGCGCCGATTTTTATATTTTTTTGGCGCCACTGGCGAGTAAAGTCCTGTCGCTTGCAGTTAGACAGTGACCAACGGGTGAGCGCTGAAGCGATAGGATTATCGCATTTGCGATCACCACGTTTGCGCCACTCACCCGTATTCACAAACATTACTATGAGGTCTCACAGTGCGCTTGGACGCACAGGGTGACATATGAACCAATTACAGAGCTCAATTCAACGCTGTGCGTTCGATTTGCTGATTCATTTAAGCAAGCATAGTTTGTGAATACAGGCGACAGTCTAGTAAGATTTTAACACACCAGTGGCGCCAACTGGCGAGTGTTAAAAAGAAAACTCTTTTTTCAATCGACGCAAGGAAAGTCGTCGGTTAGCTTTAAACGATACATAATTGAGTATATTATCAAAACGTTAATATAAGTATTTACATTAATTTACAGTATGTCACTTGATTTAAGGTACAATGTACCTTTAAAATTAATAATTATAAGTGTTGAAAAATGCATTGCAATAAATCTACAAATTAATATGAGTTTTAGTGGAGATCAACCAACTAAACACTAAATCTGTCTCTATTTTTTATTTTGGTACCTGCCAAATACATCAAATTATTGATTGTTATATCTTCTTAATAATTTATATTTTTATTTTACTTGATTTTATTCAAATATTTACTGTGGATAATGCTACCACAAAGCTGACTTAAGTTGCTAAAAATAAACGTAATTATGTTACAAAATTAACAAAAACAATCTTACGTTATGTAAAATAACAATGTTTCAAATATTTGGCTATATAATGAACTTTTTACGTGTATTTCATATGATGATGATGTATGATGAATTTTTGATTTTTCTTTTATTTTAGGTACTTTTTACTAGCGTCCATTTTTATTTTTATCAATTTATTTACAGTAACTTCTGTTTTTATTATTCACACATCGCTTGTGATTTTATCAAATTATTTTAATATCTAAAGAGTTGATTTCAGTAACCATAATCTAAATTTAAAATTTCGAAAATACTAATACTTTTATCGACTTCAATAATAAGACAAGTGAAATGGGAACCATGTGCCATATTTTTAACCGACTTCAAAAAGGAGGAGGTTCTCAATTGGTATGTTTTATTGTATAAAAAGTGATGCTATTTTATGACCCGCTATGTGTATTATCATGGATCAATTAGTATATCTCTAGGCCTTACTGAGTACACCTATGAATGTATCAATTTCATTATTAGTATGTCACCTCGGAATGTCATTGCGTTGCCTCTATTATATTTACAAGTAAATCTATATAATAGTAAATATTTACTTGTAAAATATTGGCACATGGTTCCAATGTCACCTCATATCTTTCGATAGTAGCTAGACACACTTTGTAGTGATGTATGGAGTAAAAGAATGTTTGGCGTTTGCATATTTACAGTGTTGTGTTCGGTCTTCTGAACCTAAAACGTGCTCTCTCTCTATTATGTAAAGTTTTATCAAACTTTAAATACATTTCGCGCAATTCCATCTCTTAAACATAGCGTGCGTATCCCGAATTTTTACGGTTCTTATAATAATTTCATCATCTTCTCTTAGTATTACTTTGAAATACGTTAGATGGCGCTGTACGTATATAATTTAACGATTGCATCATTTTTCCGAAACAACACAACCCAGAAGTGGAACTGGCTTTAGTCGTGATTAATATTGGTGGTGATGCTGTTGATTCACTAGACTCAGGCCCGTATTCTGAAACAAAACTCAAGCTTGAATATACATCAAATATGATGATCTAAAGCCCGGTCTGTGAGCACGTAGAATTTTGTCCAATGACCCCAAGCTACCCATCCTTATCGCTCGCGCGTAATTATATTGCTGTCGCGACTGCGATTAGCACCCACAGTGAGTGTGCGAGCGCGACAGCAACATAATTACGCGCGAGCGATAAGGATGGGTAGCTAGGGGTCATTGGACAAAATTCTACGTGCTCACAGACCAGACTTATAGACACGCGGTAGTGTGTCAAGCCAAATTCAAGTAACAGAACTGGCGAGCAGCACCGTTGTTATTTTATATTACGGGTGTGTTAAGTCTTAGACCCAGCGGGTTTGATTTTTAGTGGGGACAAAATTTCCTGCTCGTTATGGTTGATGGTAGCCTGGTAGGGTTTGTTTTAAGTCTGCCTAGCTAACAAGAACAACAATGTTAACAGCATTGTTGTGTTTTGGGCAGTTGGAGGTGAGATAACCAGTTTCTCTATTTTAGGGTTCCGGATGATTCTTATTTGCACCTTCGTCTGATCTTCATATTTCCATCACGTGCGATGGCTACCATCGTAGAAGTAGCTAGAAGTAATATAGTACCTATACAGAAGTTTCTAGAAGTAATACGTCATAAAAGTCACGACCCCGATGCCAGCTAACAAAGCCGCGAGGTGTTTGATCGACTGCCACTTGTATATGATAGTGCAACAAAACAGAGTGGCTGAGTGGAGTGACAATGGTATCCATAGACGTTTGTAAAGTCCAGTCTCCGAGCAAATAGAATTTCAACCAATGACCCCAAGCTACCCATCCTTATCGCTCGCGAGTATTTATTTATATTGCTGGCGCGCTCGCACACTCACTGCGGCTCGCGACAGCAATATAATTATGTGCGAGTAATAAGGATGGGTAGTTTGAGGTCATTGGACGAAATTCTATCTGCTCGGCGACCGGACTTTACAAGTAATAATACCTTTATAGAAGTTTCTAGAAGTAATACGTCATAAATGCCATGACCCCGATGCCGGCTAACAAAGCCGCAAGGTGTTTGAGCGACTGCCACTTGTCTTCTTCCCGGAGAAGGTCCGGTAACACTGTGACCAGCGCTATGTGTAGGAACCCGCCCGCTGTGAACGGGACTATCCAGGATGTCTTTGCCTCTGTGGAATGAATGAATTGGTTATTTTAATATAGGCTTAGATATCTTAGTAAAAATCAAATTTGCAAGAAAATGCGTCATAGTTAATACAGTCATTTAGTCTCCACCATAATTGACCACAGACACAATTAAAAATAATACACTGGTCTCACAAATATCGACCCTCCCGCTATAAAACTGTTAAGTTGGGATTAATCGCTATCCATCTGTTAAAGAGGACACGTGAGATCATTATTTGGTTTTATAACCATAAAAATTGGTCTAATTGATCCCAGAGGTGAGCCCAAATTGAGGTCTTTTTTCAAGTCACATTTATTGTATATCGCGTTTATGTTAATCGTTTATTAAGAAATTAAATGTGTTTTTCTATAAGGATATTTATTGGGCTTTCAAATAACACCAATATTGTTGGGGCACCATGATTGTGTCAGTAGAAACGAGTTTTCCTGTAAAACGTAGGTGGGCCGATTTTTGTGATGACCAGTATATTTTGGCCTTCACTCCACCGCATACTAAACAGTTTGGGGAGGTTGGGAAGTCAATCTATTTCTGTAGATTACCAATATGAGCCACGTAAAAAATGTTGTATTTGAACATCAGAATCCTTCTAGATCAAACAGGATATTTGAAGGTACTTCTGACAGTTTGAGATACGAAATGCCCAAAATACAAAAACAGACTAAAATGTTTACTTACCTATCGCATTTCTGGCTCCGCTGAATATGACGGCGGTCATTGCACCGATCAGACCAGCTGAAGCGGTGGCCTGGAAAACACAAAATAAAACAATTAGCTACTTTGATTGGCATCCCAAGACAAATTAAGGTTATGATATTTTAATCAAGTATTTTTTGACGAAGTACAGTCAGCGCCAATGAGGGTTTTCGCGATTGAAAAATCCAGATGGCAATACGTAGACGTGAGGTCCAAATGCTGCATGATTGGTTATTTTTGACATGACATTGACAGATATGTCAAAATCCACCAATCATGCAGCATTTGGACCTCGCGTCTACGTATTGCCATCTGGCGGATTTTTCAATCGCGAAAACCCTCATTAGTTCGTGATACCCAAAGTGGCCAAAAAGTGGACAACACAACCTTATTCCAAATGTAAAAAAGACGTATTGCGAACTTCTGGCTACTTTGGGTGTCACTATTTGATGCTGACTGTACACTTGTGCCAACTACATATCCGTATGTATGTAAAAAAATAGAAATGTAGACATACCAGTTGCGCCTTGGCCGCTTCCCACCGCGAGAACCCGCTTTTCAGGAGAATGGCGAAGTCTCCCACTTCGTGAGGGATTTCATGGACTGCAAAATAAAAAATCAAAATTATTTTATTCAATAAGACCAATCAATCAATGCAATAATAGAAGTGCGATTATTAATTACTTGAGCGTGCTTATAAACGAAAGAGCCACAAATCAAGTACGTAAAATTGCTTTTAGTTAGAAAATGGTACTATAGTCTGCTCTGCGAGCACGTAGAATTTTGGCCAATGACCCCGTCGCACAGTCGCGACAGCAATATAATTACGCGCGAGCGATAAGGATGGGTAGCTTGGGTTCATTGGCCAAAATTCTACGTGCTCGCAGACGGGGCTTTAGAATCATCTAAATATATTTCATTTCACAAAGACGCCCGATAAAATTCATCGATTTTTTTCAAGTTAGCCGTTTGATGGATTTTAGCTTGAGGGGACTTCGTCTCAATTGTGAGGGTAACACTGAGTAGGTATATCAAAATTGCTTTTCAGGTTTCAATCAAAGTTTTTACGCAGTTGGGTTGTTTTTTCAGCAATAAATAATTTTGTTTGAGACTGTTATACTGACCGAGTATAGCGAATGTGGTGAGCAGACCGACTCGGAAGCCCACGAGGAAGGAGCCGCCCACCGCCAGTCCATGCGTGAAGTTATCTATGGAGTTGGCCATGAGGTTCAGGTAGCCCGCCACCTGCAACGGATAACATTATTTATTATTTATTCGTGAATAGAACGGTAGTAACAGTAGTACCAATTACACTATTCAAATAAGACATTATCATTTCAGCCACAGGACGTCCACTGCTCAACATATAGGCCTCCCCCAATGTCTTCCACATCGCACTGATTAAAAAGATTATGAGACATGTAGAGGCTCCTTAAGAGCAAAATGACGATTTGTAAGAACTATTTATTAGTCTAAACAAATAAAGAAATTTTGACTTTGACACTGTTGGTAGACTTGGTAACAAGGCGGACTGACGACCTGATAAAGGTAGCAGGAAGGTGCTGGATGCAGGTCAGAATATATAGATAGATACAACTTTTTTTAATTTAATTTTATAACATTGAAATTAGTGTAGTTAATTAACCCTTACTTTCTCCGAGTATCGTATTTGCGGGTTACTATAGCCATAGAGGGCAACTTTAGCTAGAGAAAATAGTATTGCAATTGAGCCAATCTTGCAAGCAACTTGAAAACGCATGCCCATGGCATGCCCCGATTAATGCTGAGCGGGCCCCTATTTGACAGCAGGGCACAATGTTTATCTTCTTTATGTAATTTATGTAAATGTGATGTCGCTCTGTTTCGTCAAATAAAACATTTTTTACTTTTTTACTTTAAAACATGCATTAGTAACGCTATCTAACAATGCCATGTCAAATTATGTTGTTTATTGATATTGCTATGAAGAGGTGGGAAATTAAATCCTCTTTTGTTTTGAGCCAAAGTTGCCCCCTAGGGCATAAGTAACCCGCAAATATGGGACGTACCGTACAAGACCGAATTGGTGGTCCGACATGGATATTATTCAGGCCATTGTCGCCTCATCCATGTACATATTATAGGGCTCAAACTTATTTTTCTACTTCTAGTGTGGGTGTTCATAAACGGGCCAAGTCATGTGTAGCTGGACTGCCAATAAAAATCAGTGAAGGCCAAGTTTGTAAAAGGGGAAGTTAACTACTACAGTAGAATCCCGATTATCCGGATCAATTAAAACCAGGGGTGTTCCGGATAATCGAAAATCCGGATACTCGATTTCAAAGTAAAATCAAACAATAATTAACTTTTTACAATAGAAACGTTTTTTTTAATTCAATACATCATTATAGACCATTGGATGAATCCATTTCTTATAAAAATGAACCAAGACGACGTCTGCTGCACCGTGTTACGGTGGCGGCGCCTTGTCGTTTGGATGGATCCAGAGGACCCTTAATCGATAATTAGAACCGTGAAGAATGAGTCCGGATAATCGGGATTCTACTGTACTCAAAATTTTATCATAACTTACATCTTTCTTCTCGCTCTTCTCTTTAGTAGCCTTCAGTGCCTTCTCTCTCGCCTCTCGTAATAGACAGCGGCCCATCCAACGGTTGCTGCCCTTCCCTCCGCATTTAACTGAACCATTCGAAGCGGCTACACTGTTACAGCAACCGCCTTCACCTGGTAACAAGTCATCATTGATCAATAAGTCCGCGAAAGACCAACTTCTTATTCGTTCGAGCATGTCACGATAAATGCTGAGCGGGACAGTTTTTTGCTACCTAACATTTCTTTTGTCCTGTACCTTTAAGTTATTCTGTGTCAATAAAATTAGTTCTATTTAAAGGCGGACAAAATGTAGATATAGTTCCAAAATACTGGACTGTCCTGTCGATGACATTGACAGTGGGGCGCCACCGTCAATACCGGATCGCTGGTTCAGATTTTTGCCATGTTGGAAACCATATAGTTGAACGATGGTAGCGCCCCCCTGTCATTGAGTTTGGTGGGACAGTTCAGCGTGGGTCATCTATACTTTGTTACCGACGCGGCACACATCAGGATCACCGAGTCGTTTTATGGCGTCAAGTGGAAATAAATTGACACAAGGATTCACTGGTGATTTCTACGTTTGCCCATTCTCTTAGTCTCCGTCTCCACTTCAGGAGCACAAATATCTCTAATTTACCAGAAGCAAATAGATAACGCCTTCACTTGATGAAATAGATCAGGGTTTCCCAATTTTTTTTTGCCAAGGAACCCTAACTGATTATACTTTTCCTAGCGGAACCCCCGTACTACTCCGCCCGCACGCCCTGCCCCTCCCTTGTGCGAGTGAACAACGTCGGTCACGAAACGTGGGATATTTTTTACGGAACCCTTGCGGCCTTTCCACGGAACCCCAGGGTTCCGCGGACCACCATTCGGGAACCGCTGAAATAGATCATCATCAGGTCATTTGGTCTCCATTGAAAGAGCACAACCCTCTCTGATTTTACCAGAGGAAAATCTTAGCCAACTCTATGCTGGCCAGACAGGTTGGGGAGGCTTGATGTTCGCATATTTGTCCCTTGTCGCCTCTTGCGAAGTTATAACATTCACGAGGTGAGTGGGAGTACCCACCCAGTCCTATTCTGCTTTGCCGAAACCACATTGAAATTAGGGAAAAGCAGGTAAAATTGGGACTTATTGCTTGCTACCAATGCAACTTGTTTGCATTGCAACCTTCAACTTAAAGCTACTAAAACTCACCTTTCGTGTTATTATTGAACACACAAGTGTCATACAGCTGCTTAGCAGTCACGCTTCCATTACAAAGACCCCCTTTATTCCCCCCGCGTTGTTTTCTCTCCAATTCTAGAAGTTTCTCGATCTCTTCTATTTCAATCTGCTTGATAGATCCGTTCTGCTTCGCTGGCGGGGTTTGTTCTTCTTCGCCTTCTGACGCTGCGAAGAGTTTTTCTACTACGATGAAGACTAGCATGCCAGCGAGACACCAAAGACCGCATTTTAGTGAAACGTGCTCGCCTTCTGTAAGAAGAAATTCAAAATCTATATACTTAATATTATAAATGAGAAAGTAACTCTGTCTGTCTTGCTTTCACGCCTAAACCACTGAACCGATTTTGATGAAATTTGGCATAGAGATAGTTTGAGTCCCAGGAAAGGACATAGGATAGTTTTTATCCCGGTTTTTGAAATAGAGACGCACGCGATAAAGTTTTTCTGTGACAGACAAAATTCCACGCAGACGAAGCCGCGGGTGGAAAGCTAGTTATAAATAACTTGAAAAAGTCGAAAATGCCTAAGGAAGGAATCGAACCTACGAGCTTGCCAGGCGACTGTTCTTTCAGCTGAGCTACTTAAGAGCCATTNTGTTACTTAGATATTATAGATTGTAACAAGTCCAAACTTGCACGGAAAGTTAGGTTTGTATTCTAATTATCCGTATTTGTTTGTGGCAAGTCGGTCAAATGGACGAAAACAGGAGCTGGACGGAAAACCGGCGCAATTACCCTACCTAGCTAGGGTATCACTAGCGTGCAGTCGGCTGCAATAGTTGTTTACTTATTTTTATCCCTCGTTAGGGTACATTCGATAACGAACACGGCTAGTTATCTTGTCGCTACATAAAGATAAGAGCCACGTAATTGCGTTAATTTGATACATCAAAATTATGATAATTGCGTCTATTAAACATTTAAGATTTGGTGGAGTTACCCAGTTGGTTATTGCCTTACAACGGTTATAACTTTTTAATATCAATATGTAATTGTAAATTTTAAGACATCTGCGTTTAGTAAAACAGCGTTAGTTTTGTAGCGAGTTTACAGTTACCTAAACAACGGTTTAAGTTAAACCAATCTTTTTAAGTAAAGTCTTAGCGACTTTTCTAGCCAAGTGTACATTGTCTTGACATAGCTTCAAGCATAACGAAGATAGGTCGAGGCGATCCGACGCCGTCTCTGTTTACGGCAAACAGCGGTCTCTATGTGAACGTGTATAGCTAGCTGTATGTGTGTATTAGTGAAACAGTTACGGCATACAGTTCCGCGTATAAAGGACTTTCAGAATTGCGCGTTGGTTTTAACCTCGTAAGACCGAAGAGTAAATTTTCTCGACTTCTAAGTATCGCCGAATGTGCTTTCAGAAGAACGAATAATTTGTAGTAGTAAACGCCGAGCACTTCAAGTAAAAAAAAATCTATGTTAGAGATTTTCTTTTGCATTCAAATTTTCAGGGGCCCTATATAATAGTGCATAGAGCTTATTTTAGGTGAAAAATATTAAAAAAAAATTTTCTCTNGCCCTGGATACGAAATATTCGTCAAGGCGAATCACACAAGCCCAAACTCCATAGGGTTCTATTGTTTTGTTACGGAGGTGGCTATTGCATCTCCTCCAGATCCATTATCAGACAGAGCTAAGAAATAAATAAATAAATATTATTATAAGTAAACAAATAACTAATATAATGCATCTTACTATCTTACTTCTTACTAGTCTTACTAATATTATAAATACGAAAGTTTGTGTGGATGTCTGGATGTTTGTTACACTTTCGCGTGAAAGTAGTATCAAAATCTGTTCAGTAGTTTTTGCGTAAAAACTACTGAACAGATTTTGATGAAACTTTACAGTACAGTACAGCAGTACTAGACAGTCTGTGTTCAACTATCACTCGGGTCGGAAGTTCCTATCGCAAGACCTTTGGTTCACTCAGTTCCGATACGACTCTAGTGCTGTGTGTAATTATTTTCGTGAATACACTGAGTTTATTAATTTCTACGAGTGGATTTCATTTTGCCTGAGACCTACGCCATGAACCCTGAACCAGAAGACCCTGTCGCCAGCGACAGCGACGCTCATCCATCCCTGGCGTCGACCGGAATAACAATGTATAGGCTATAATTTATGACGATCTGTGACAAACTAAATTTCAAGCGGGTGAAGCCGCGGGCAATACTACATATTTCATACTAGCTTTTTGCCCGCGACTTCTTCTGCGATGAAGTGGAAAATGGTTCTAATAGAATTAAAATATTCTAAGAAAATTAATTTTGTTAAATGATTATATTTTTTGATATAAAATCTACACATCATTATGTTTAAATATTTGAATACTTACAAAATTATGAGATCTTTCTAAAACAAAATTAAAACACTACACCTGCCGCAGATTTCTTTGTAAACAATGTTTTTTTGTTTTTCCTTCAGGTGCTAAAATCACCAGGCTATTGTGTGCGCATACTCTGGAGTATTCCACATACAACTGGTCGTCGGAGAAGCATAGATTTCCATTAAGTCTACTCCCGCTACCATATGGAACTCCGCTAAAACTCGTGAGGGCGCCAACACTTGCTTTTGTATCGAAAATTAGTATGAGCAGCTGCGCACGCGGTTGCCCGTTGCAGGCTCTATGCAACCACACTATTTTAAACCGTGGTCCCTAAGCATGAGATGGGAAACTGCACTCTCTTGAATTCTCTTGAATTTGATGGTGTTAGGGGAATCCTAGGAATGAATACAGACTTTCCAATGGAATCTCCTCATCAATATTGCGAAATTGCGAGTTGCAATGCAATGTTACGTTTTCACTTGTTATTTTATTGTAATCTGACCTTGATTTTTCAAACACGTGTCAAAATAAAAAAAATAATTTAAATCAAAAGTACTAAGGAATATTTCATTGATATCAACTTAGAAACAAGCACAGATCACAGAAACTAAAGGGAAATGTGACAAGGGACAAATTGGAACATATTGCTTGTGAAAGCAATGATGACAGTAGCGACGTCATTATGTAAACAGTTTATATTGCTTGCATAGTACTAAAGATTATTCGAACGTTGAATACTGATACCGCAATGGATAATGAGCACATAATTTGATTTCTTTGTGTGTGTGAATTTCTAATACGACACTGAGTTTCGAACTCAGCGCATTACTTAGCATCTCTCTATATTTCTATGGAACCAAGTTATCTCCAAAATAACATTCCACACCTTTTTAACCTAGTCAGGTAATAATTTTAATAAAATACGAAGCACGTCATCTATCAATAGGATATATGTATATTTTAGAAGTTAATAAATTATGCATAAAATATAAACACTTTAGAAGTTTAGTTAAATCGTAGAATTTCTGAAAAACAAGTACTAAAATCGTACTGAAAAAAAAAGTATTAATATGTTATCTAATTTATTTATTAAACGTCGAATTTTATCAAAGATTTTGGACTAAAGTTTTTGAAAATATTTTATAGCCTACATAGAAAAAAATTAGGATTCTAAATCGTGAAAGAAATTTTTTTCGGAGCCTATTGCCTCCAAACAAACAAACAAACAATTAAATCTTTCCTCTTTTATTAGTATAGATTTAACAACAAAACAAAACGCTTCTTTTTCTTCTTCACGAAACAAAACTCAAAGCGGATAAATAAATAAACAAATCTTTGGACAATTTCACAGCGCCATCTAGTCCAAAAGTAGGCAACCAATATGCTTGTGTTAAGGGTGCTATCATAATGGATATACTTTTTTATAATTTATTTATTAAATTAAATACATGGTACCTACATATTATACATAGTTACACCCAGATCCGTCAAAGAAATTAAAATTCATCATTTCAATTTCTGCTCGGCCGGCCGACTCGAAACAGCCTCTCGGCATAGTATCAAATGTATTTGGTCGCCGTACAAATCACCGCTTTACGACACGAACGCACGTAAACGTCACGGCGGGAAAAATGACACAGGTCCTGCCTTGACGGGCGCTCGCGCCATACTAATCGATGTCGGCTTGCGCATTGTAATTTATACTGATATTCACATCAATATTTTGACAAAGTGGTTACTAATATTTAAACAATAACTGTAGAAATCAATTCTACAATGAATATTCTTTATTTTGGGATACTTTTATTGCAGTTATTGCTGTGTTTTTAAACCAAAAACCACGATCAAAATGTGACGTTAATCTTCAAATTTGCCAAATTATTTTTAGATTTTACTCAATAATGGTAATGAAATTCAAGAATCTATTTCATTAATGGACTACAAGAATATATGTCCGATGATTACTATATATTTTTAAGCTTATTATATGAGCATAAATAATAGATACAGGACTTTGAAAATGAGTCTGCGGCAATTTTTCCGTAAAATGGTTGTGGGAGATGGGGCACTGTGAATTAAGCAAAAGAGTTTTAGTAAATCCGTTTCATTAATGGTCAACACCAAGGATTGACCTATCTTTCGCAGTTATTAAATAATCTCTGGGTGTTGCTTAAGATAGTAATTCATGCTTCCAAAATCTTAGAAATTCGCACGAAAATGTAAAATGGCTCTTATGAACCAGTAGTTTGAGTAGCAACTCTATATGCTCAGAAATTTTATTTAAAAACTGCAATGACATAAGAATAACTGCAGAAATTGTAGTTGGTTAACATAACTGTGCAGATACTATGGGCCACACTTCCAGCCATTTCCAGTCATGTCGTCTCGTACTATCGCAAAGAATAGCCATTTAATGAGAGCGAGAAAAAAAAATGGGTAGCTGGAACTGCGGCCCACTGTATACTGTGAACTTGTAATAAATTGTAACCTGTTTTGAGATTAACAAACATCATCATCATCATTTCAGCTACAGGACGTCCACTGCTGAACATAGGCCTCCCCAACGATTTCCAGCTTTGCTGGTTGGTAGCGGTCTGCATCCAGCGCCTTCCTGCTACCTTTATAAGGTCGTCTATCCAACTTGTGATTGGTCGTCTTACGCTGCGCAAGTGGTCAGGGCACATAGCACGCAGAACTGACGGTGGATGGGGCAGCAAAGTTCTGGAATGGAGGCCATGTACCGGCAAGCGCAGTGTAAACGCAATGCACGTTAAGGATTTGATTGTTGCACCGACGATAAGATCTTATTCATCATCATCATTTCAGTCATAGGACGTCCACTGCTGAACATAGGCCTCCGCCAGTGACTTCCATGATGACCGGTTGGCAATGGCCTGCATCTAGCGCCTTCC